GGGGGGGGGGGGGTGAGAGGAGCCTAGGATATAACGAATAAACGCAAAACGACTTTTTAGCCTCTCCATCTTGATCGGTTTAACCCGGAGCGATCGACGCCGATAAAAATCAGAAGCGCGGGATGCGTCAGTACGGGCCAGCGTTTACGTAGGCATAAAAGTAAATATAAAGCTCGGATCCTTCCGGGGCATTAACTGCGATTCTCTCTCTTGCTCCTTTTCTCTTCCTCTGAAGAGCGTTCTCCCGCGCGATGAGTAGACGACATGAGATAACGCGCGAATATGTTTGAAAGTCTAAATAGCGTTACAGATCTTGAAGATGTATTGGGGCGTTTTCTCGAGAAAATTTGCACTAAAAACTTTGAGAAAGTCTAAACAATTATAATCTATATGCAATTATCTTTAGTGTAAATTTTATCGTGCAAGAAACGCGGTCGTGCCTCTCTCTCTCTCTCTCTCTATCTCCCTTCCTATGAACCGCACTAGACATAGAATTTATTTTACTATAATTGCAGGCGGGCACGCGTAACTTGTAACGAGCGTGCAATGTGGTATGAAGAAATATCGTGTATTTAAAACGAAAACAGGAAAGCACTACACGTCGCGACAATGCCGCCGCGTTGGTTCATTATACTTTCTAATGGAACTCGCTTTTCTGCGTCGATTCGTTTTACTATTCGTTCACGTCGTTATCGTTTAACACGCCGGCGAGAGTGAAATTTATTTCACGGCCGTAATAAATACAAGACTTTTATTCCCGTCATTCCCGACTGCTTCAAGTCGAGGCGATTTATAATTTATGTTCGAGATGCAAAACCGCACGATTCGCGCTCACTAAGTTCCTCCTCACCAGTGCCCGTCGAATCGAATTTTTACCGCGTTCGTTTTATCCGTCGTATTTATTTAACTCCTTACAAAGCCGGAATTATCATTTTTAAGCAAACGACAACACGTCGATTTATCATTTTTAAGCAAGCAATGTCAAGTAATGCAAAAAATACGATAAGAAATTTGCACTTATTAACAAAGACAGACTGACAGACAGACAGACAGACAGCCGTAGGGAAGACTGTTAAACGTCTTCCACCTCGAGGCAAGAAAATAACACACTGCCGACAGAGAAATATGCATATATTGCTTGGTTGATTTCCTCGCGTGCGGGACGTATGCGAAGCCGAAAGTGCACAGTAACGCGAATACCTCGCGCTCATGAATAATGCACAAGTTTTGCACGCGCGCTTCCACAACGGAAACGCAGCCGATAGTTTAACGCGCGACGAGTTCACGGCAACAAACGGCCCCAGTTGTCCTTTCAGCCACGAGAGTGACGCGAATGTTACCGTAGTCGGGAATAATTCACTGCTTTCTAGCCGCCGTGTGCGCGCACAAGTATCCACACACGGTGAAGCCGGTCGTTCGTCGGTCGTTCGCGCCGTGGAACGTTTTGCAGGAAGCGAACGCCGGGCATGCCGAAGCGGCAGATGCGAAGCGCTTCGCCTTCGGCGTCGTGACACGAGAGAAAGTACCGCGGATTGGATAATCCGTAAAAAGGAAAGTGCTCGCACTTACGTTTACCGTGGCGGGCGAGAGGTGGCTCTTTTTTTGGACGAGACTTACGTAAGCTTTCTTGAGCAAACTTTCGTTTCGAGCAACGAACGCGCTCTTCGAAACGTGCGCCCGATGAAACTCCAAGTAATTTCACGGCGACACACTTGTAAGTATGAATCAGACTTCTATAACAGATAGACTCTATATGTCGATGAGAAGTAAAAAAATTTCAGGAGAAATCAAAAGCTGTCTTGGAAATTCGTCTTGTTCCGCGAACGGTCAAGTCTCTTTTTTGTTATTTAGTAAAGTTAATAGTTTGATATTTTATGAAATAACAAAGTAAGAGTTTTCTGGTACACTGAGAGAAATTCTCGATACGAAATTGACAAACAATTTTTTACGATCAAAATACAGATGAATTTTTGTAGTTGATTTTCCTTTTGGAAAAAGAATATTGTGAAAGAAAATATAATATTTTAAAGTGATTTTTACCACAACATTTACTCCGTGTACCGTGTTAATAATGTGTTCCACAGTCATTAACAAGAAAAAATTGACTCAAGCGTGTGAACGAATATCAATCGACGTCGACTAACGCAGCGTCGGGATGAAGTCGACGCGAGAATAATCCTTGAATCTACTTAGCGCGTGTTTGCGAGCACTAACGATTCACACGCGATGCACAGACTTGAATCACGTTAACAACCAACTATATAAATGAGATGCTTGGGAAAACAAGCTTTACCATTCTCAGAGCAAAAAATTCATATATAATTCGCAGTCTCATGGGATAAGTTATTAACGCGCTGACGTTTAATGCTCCTACCACCTGTTTTTTTCGACGAGTTGGCATTCGATATTCAGTGATGGCCGAGAGAGAGAGAGAGAGAGAGAGAGAGAGAAGAGATAGAGATAGAGAAAGAGTGTCGCCGCAACGGCGACGCTAGTCAGCACACATATGAATGCATAATTAATATGTCCGCGCTCGAAATTTTCGTGCTCATCGCGCGGGATCTTGTCCGCACGCGACGGAATGCACCCCGTCGAATGTATGGTTTCAACAGCGAACACGAGTGGGCGGGTGAGAGCGAAGGGAGAGCATTTCCCGATTTCCCAACGGGAACGCGCTTTAACATAACTTCGCTTTTAATCGGGACGTAAAACGGCGCGCGATTTCGCGATATAATTCTTCGCGTTATCCGCATAACGCAACGCGCGCGCGCGCACGCACCTCGTCGCGTTTTACCGTCGATCGTAAACGAACGTTGCAAAATGCGGCGCGCTCGCATTTACCGCCGGCATCCAATTTTCCGGCGAGCGGGCGTCACATCGCGTCGCGTCGGTCGCATTCGATACTGGTCGAGGACCGTGCTGTGTGCACAGAGAAAATATTGCGGTAAAAATTGCAAGAACTTTTCTGTGATCTTGCACCATGCAGAATTGTGGCCGAAATTACTATGTGTCTGTGTTTAACTTTAAAACCCTAACCATCAAAAAGTTAAGAGGAACCTTAAACATGGATAAATTCCACCTAGTACTTTTTTACTCGCTCGTGGCTTCCGAAAGAATGATTGAAGTTCAATCTCTTTTTCTTTAATTGGTATAGGAAACATCAAGGAGTATGAATCCATTCATGTTTTTCTTTTTTTTTTATCATTTTTACAATATTTTATATTACGACTTTAGTACACGCAAAGTCCCAATTCTATAAAAAAAACACTGCAAAAAGAAATACAATTTTGACGTAATTTTTACCACAATATTTTCTCGGCACACATTGTTTCGATTCTGTCCTGTACAATCATGCGTTGGCGTGTCAGCCGTGGCGAGTGACAATTGCGACAATTGCGTGGGTGCATGCAACGCGAGCTCTATTCGGTCGCGCTTTTCGCATCGAGGCGTAGAAAAAAGAAGAAAAAAAAAGAAAAATTCCCCCGCCACACTCGTATGCCGCGAAATCGCATTCTTCGTAGCGCGCGTGAAATTTCAATCAACCGATTGCTCGCATCTGCGTATTTCACGCGCGCATCCGCGTTACATCTCGCGGAATTCACGCTCAGGGTCAACGGACGTAAGTCGTTTAGCGGCGCAGGATCGGAGTCGAATCGAAAGTTGTGAAAGTAACACCTGAGTGCAACAGCCTCGATGATGAAAGTGGATTCTCAGCTTATTACATCGAGCACGCCGGCATGTCGCGCTAATTGAAAAAACGTACTGTTTACTATTAGAAAACACCGCAACCGGAATCTGTCGTGCGCGCGACTCCGTCTTCTCCTTTTCTCTCTCATCTGCTTCCATGAACGAAAAGAAACGGTCGAAACGACAGCACTGAAGTTCTCTAGTCAGAGTTAGGACAGAATATAACTCCCCGTTTTGGTCTGCATTTTCCGCCGTCCGTTTCAAGGGTTTCTGTTATTTTCAAGGGTGACGCAAGTGGCAGTGAATGAGTGAGAGAGAGAAAGAGAGACTCTAGTAGGAGTGAGAGAGAAGTTCCAAGAATGAAATGACGAAGCACGCTGCAACTTCCCTCTCACTCACTCATTTTCTCCCAATAAATGGTGGACCGTGTCCCAACTCTGACTTGAGAAATTCTCGACGAGATGTAAAGCTAGCGCTGATTTGTATACCTGATGAGATTCAAAAGAGACCGTTCCATTTCACTCAGCTGGTCCTGATGGACGTACGATGAGAGCTCGCATATCAGCTTCGGCAGACATGCGGTCCTGATCGTCGCAATCATCCTGGCGCGGCGCAAAGCAACTGCGGAAAAATCGAAATATCGGTCATTACGTCGAGCGACGCGCGCCACGCTTTCCCGTGGAAGGCAACACGGCTCTTCGTCGATTTCGACTGTCCAATGCGATACGACAATAATGCTCTGGCGCGCGCGAATCAGACATTTATTCAAGATCGCATTGTTATTACTGGGTGAAAAAAATATCTATTTTTAATGTACCTAATATATAGAATAATATGTAATATTTTTTATATTACTCTGATATGTTTATCTTATGAGGCTCTCTGTTTACATTTCATTGTTAGTTTAATTCTCAATTTGATTTTCAATTCTTTTAATTAATGAAATCTTCAAATTTTTATTAAAATTTCTAATTCATTTTAAATTCCTAATTTTTAATCGGTGCTAACTCGGTAATTATGCTTTTTTAATGTAATGTAATTTTGTATTTTGCCGTAGGATTATATTGTTTTATGTTTGCTCATATTTTCGCGAGGAAACTGAACGTCGCATTTCTATTTCACATCGCGCCTCCACATTCCATCCTTACCGTTATCCTTGTCTGCATTTTTTTTCGAGAAAACGGATACTTCATCATGAGGTTTCTTAGGATCAACCTCGGGCGGCCCTTTGGGAGCGTCCGTTACGTTCCCCTCTGTCGCTTTACCGAAAATCGTGGAGATCAGTGCGCTATAGTCGCCGGCGAAGACCAGAAACATGCCCAAGAATATCACTAATCGTACCGTACTCGTGTCCATATTTGCTCTTTGTTTTTTCTTTTCGTCTCGGTACAAACGAGTGACTAGAGATGAACTCACTGATTTGTGGACCTTCAGACAATTTTCAGACGCGCGTCCGACGAGCTGACACGTGAATTTACCGTGTTGGTCGAATTCAGATTACATCTGAAAAATACGAAATTGTCCAATTGTCGTTTGACGAGCCGTCTGTCGAGTGGACAACGTTAGTACCGTCAACCCATGATTAAGAAGCGAAAGCGTGCAGGCTGTAACGACTACGAAGCTGTAACGACTACGATCTTTCCCACACGGAAAGAAAATTATGACTGGATTAACCGAAATTCTGGTGGAAAATATGAACGGGTCAGAAATTCTGAAGCTACAAGAATTCCGTTCAAATCAACGAGATTGCTAGTTAACCTGAAGAGAATTCTGGTGATCGCAATTCTCTGGCTTGTTCATATTTTCTTTTCACCGGAAATTTCGTTAATCCAACCAAGCGTTTTCTCAGTGTAGTGCGGGGTGCGGCGGAAAATTCCTCGTTGCAAAGTACAACTGATAATGTTCCGTTACGTAACCACGTGTCCGGACACGACGTATCCCGACGTACTACAATATTGCGTCGCGTCACGTGAACGCACATGGATGACGCCGTTAATTTCGACCATCACGTAACGTTGCGTAAGACGCACGGTCACAATCGCGTTTCACGATTGCTTCGGTGAGTTCGCCTTAACCTGATTTTTCACAAGTATGCGATTACTTGAACGCGCCGCGAAGTCATCCACGCAAATACCTGTTCCTGGCACCGCGCTCGACGTAATCGGCCGACGCTGAGAGTTCGCGACTCGCGAGAGTGAGAAGAGGACAGAGCGCGGGAAGGGTCGAGAGAAAGAGAGAGAGAGAGAGAGAGAACAAGACAAAGGAGACTCTCACTCTCCGTTAACTTCCACTTTCTTCCAACTCCGTCGTACTCCGCGGCGATAAAGCTAAATCCTCTTACGACGTCCGTCTTACTTTCATTCGGAGCAACAAAGCCGCTCGTGAGCGAGGCCGTCGCCGACGCTCCGAGCCTCCGGGTAACGCCGACGATTTCCTTGTATCGCCGAATAAACTTTTAGCACCGAATCGCGGAAACGGCCGGCGCGCCGTCGAGAAGTCGTAAGGAGAATTCTCCTTCTGTTCGCCTCTTACTGAGAAACACGGCGCGGCGAGGTAACGTAGCGACCGCGAGACTTTTACCTCTTTCTCTCTCCCACGGGTGAACCCGTAACGCACGTCGTGCTCGCGAACGACGTAGATCTATTTCGAGACCCAGTTCCCAGGCTCGCGTATGCAAATGCAATTGTCGTCGATTATTGCTAATTCATGATGCATCCGACAACAATGATTACATTACGATAATATAATCTACACGGAGAAAATATTCTGGTACAATTTGCAACAAAGTTTCTACAATCTTGTGAACCCCCACGTAGAATTATTATTATTAGATCAATATTATCATTATTCAATTAGTTTATATTTATTATAAATTTTATATTGTTTTATTAAAATTATTAATAAATTTTATAATATTATTATTAGACCAAAATTACTATATATTTGTTTAAAAATGTTATGTACGTTTGATTTTTAGCTACAAAATCATTATAATTACAATTACTCGAATGTCCTACGCATCAGATCGTCAAATTGACTATCTCTATAGTGATTTATACCACAATCTTCGTACAGCCTAGCTTTACAAAAAGACATTGTACAAAGAAATATAATCTTTTCTCCGTGTAGTGAGGATGTGAATCGCAGTGTCGCGACTCACCCGGCTGAATCACAGTGGAGTGCGAGATTTTGGCCGGACAATTGCAAACCGACCGGAAACAAACGGTCAATCCGCACATGACGTCCCGCATAGACGAAAAACGCACGTTCTCGCGCTTCAAATCAAATCTCGTGCGCCAGTCGAAATTCGCGGATCGTAACTCAGTGGCTCGCGATTACGTGCGTACGTAGTCACGACGGCTCTCTTTTCACATACAACACGCAAACACTCTCTCTTCCTCTCTCCATCTTTCTTTTCTCGTTGACTGATTAATCCTTTGAAGCACCAGGACTTTCAAAATCCGGATTCTAATATTCATGTCTAGAATAATACCCGTTTCTTTTGAAATGAATCTTTTCTATTTTCCTATTTTTACGAAATAGAGGTGGTTTCACCGTGCAACCACTGTGCAACCACCGTGCAACAAAATATTTTCATCACTATGCACAGGCTGAATAGTGGTTTCGTTGCGAGATCACCATGTCTAACGCTATGATTTGGTTCTAATGATCTAATGATTGGTAGATGATCTCACGGTGAGACCACTGTGCTCCAAAGGGTTAATTCACCGCCGGATGAATCCAGGGTTGGAAACACCTCCTCCGAGGGCATCTCCGTAGCACTGCGCGTCACCGTCAGGAGAGACCTCCGAAGAGCAGATTCGGACGGAGGAACGACGAGCCGTCCGGTCGCGTCAAGGATCGCGAGTTGCGAAATTCGAGATGTTGGAATCCACGGGCGTGTCGCGCAGATTAATTCACTGGGTACACACTTTAGAGCGAGCGTGTTCCGTGCGAGGGCCGCGCGCTGCCAGCGAGGAGGAGAAATACGAGCGGCGCTACCGCGGTCTGCTGAAGTCGCGGAATGACTGTGAATGACTCGAAACCACGGCGGCGAGCCTAACGAGTTGTCAGTGAAAGTTGGCCGATCGCTTGCAGGTCTACGCGCGGGATTCGACGGGGCTCGCCCGGCGTTGTTGCCCCGCGATTCGAACCAACGTCGTGTCGCAGCGCACTGCGCGGAGAACGTCCGCTTCCTCGCCGAGCACTTCGTTCTTGTTACTTAGTTTCGGCGGCAGTCATATCGCGGAAGTTTCGCGTGTTCGCAGTTTTTTGCCCGTTAACTCGGCGTATTTGCTCGGGAGAGTAGGCGAGTGGAAGAAAGTGACACTATCGATTTGAACGCCGCGTTCCTCTTCAAGACAGAATAAACATAAAGGGAAAATATATCGGGTGAACAGAAACTCTTTAGTTAATCCTCCGATTCCAGGTATACTGGCGTGTACCACAACTCCCATGGGAGCGTAAAGTTGTGAATAATAAAATTATAAAGATTGAATGAAAATAAAATCAATAGAAACTCTTAAAATTAAATTAATTTAAATGAAATTAAAATTAAAAATAATAAAGATTTGAAATTATACTAAATCAATGTGTTGAAATTAAAATAATTGCTGTTTATTATTTACTAAGTCTAGTCCGCTAATCGCAAGTACAGCACGCTGATCATGCGTTGGTTTTCCAAGCAACGTTTCACAGACGCAGCGAAATCGTTGGGTTCAGAGCCAAATCCGCAGTTGAAGAATCAATGCCACACGGAGAAAAATAATTTACTGGCCCAGCAAATTTTTTGCACGTCTAGCAAAACCTTTTCGTTATTATATAGATAGCAAAAAGATTTGCTAAGAATACTAATAATTTTTTGTGGTGTATATTTGCTGGATATAGTTTGCTGAATCTACAAATTATTTTACTATAAGAACCATGATGGATTTATATAAACAGTTGCAGTTTTGCTCTGATAACAAATAATTTTGCTAAGGATACATTATTTTGCATCAATAGCAAGTTCTGATTCTCAGAACAAATACACTCAATAAATTTTTTCTATCCTGGCAACGAAACTACTTCTGCTCTGATAACGAATAATTTGTAAAATTAGTTACGCCAACTACATTTTTTTATGTCACTACGAATATGCGATAGCAACGACGATTTTGCTAAAAGAGCAAAATTATTTTTTTCCGTGCAAAAAATGGATAACTCGAGGCTCTGTTCATACGCAATCGAAAATAATTAAGTGAGAATGTAACGGAGCACGATCATTACGAAGCAGTGAGGCAACACTTTGTCTTATTGTACCACACTGACTGCACTACAGACTATCATCAGCCATTAACTTACTTGCTCATTAATCCATTTTTAATATGTCCTCACAAAGAGGAGAGGAGTTGTTAGCGCGACACCATCGTCGCGGTCTCCGTCGGTGAAAGTTAATTTTCCGTTAATTTAGATGAGCAAAAAACGACCATCTCCTTACGCTTAATTTCCAAGTGAAAAGCATACGAAACGCTGACTTGCGACGGCGAGTGCTTTCGTGCATGCGGAATGACACGCCGCTGTCGAGGACCGAGAAAACGGTTCATTCGAGCCGCCGCGATTCAACAGAGCAGAAAACTGATAATATCGACGGATAATTGATAAGTTTGGTGCGCAGAAAAAGATCGGATATCGCACGGTTGCAGAAGAGGCTGCTTTCCCGACCGATTGTGCGCCTAGCCTTAACATATACGGCCTAATTGAATACTTTCGTCCTTTCAAATGAAAGTATATAACGTGCGCGCGTGCGTTCGCTGACAGCTGATGTTCTTCTCAATCACGCACCGAGGGAGAAAAGTCAATCGTGACTGTCATTATAAATTTGAATAACTGTCAGCCATGTTTCTTCCCATTATTTCAACGAAAGAAAATACAACCGTACTTTACATATAAGATTTTTATTTATGATGCTGCGAAAAAGATTGCTCTATAATAAACCGTTCACTCTGCAACTCTGTAATCACAAGTGACTTTCTTTGCAGTTAAAAACAACGCAGAATGCTCGAGGGAAGTAACGTCATTCATTACTTAGAAGTAATCAGCAGGTATCCCCTCGTCTGGAGTTCCATGTGCATGAGCAAAAAAGGAAAGAAAAAAATTACCCAATAGTCTTTCACTAATATTATCCTTGACAAAACGATCACTCAAAAAATGCTGCAAATTCTACACAAGCAATTCTCCAGCAGATGCAAAAAATGGTGATAAATATGAACACTGTGTGACATTTAAAACTCTACTCTATATTTTTCTAAATAATTACCGTTGCGAGCGATGCACAAACGCGAAAGCGATATCGTTCGAGACTTTTAAGTATGTTGACAGCAACAACTTCAATTGCTTTAGTCGCGCGAAGAAACTTATAAATGCCGTATAATTGCACCACGAGAGCAGATTCACACGCTTGGCAACACGCAAGGGACGTTACACCTTGCCCGTTCCCCCTGCATTTTCAATATTTACGGTGTTTTCTCTTACACAGAGTGTCGTGCCACTTTAGGAGTTTAGAAACTTTACTTCGTACAGGTTGAAGCAGATCGAGTGTATACGCGTGCCTCCCCTCTACCGGCGCGAGGGAAGAGTGGAAGGAAATCGGCCGGCAATGTTTCGCGGAGAATATAATTTTCTCCTGCGACGTTCATAAACAAAAATACCGAGGGAACGAGAGCAGGAGAGCAAATAATCGGCCGCCGACGTGTCCCGGTTACTGCTTCAACAACGCGTTCTCTCCCGCTCTTATGGGTGAGATCGTGTGTGTGTGTGTGTGTGTGTGTGTGTGTGTGTGTGTACCATTAATGAATAATAAATGTGTAATAATGTAACAATAACGTGTCGCTCTTAAATACTCCTCCCGATAAGAGTTTACGAGCGAAGCTCGAGAAACATTGCATCGCGAATGCAAACGTGATTCACGTTTTAACGACACTCACACTCGCGCGCGCGAGAGCTCGCTCAAGCTGCGATAAATAAGACTCGCCAGCGAACGGGTGTGCAAAAAGAAGCGTGACATTACACATTCGCGTCACAAACGTGAAAAAACGCAAATACAAGAGGAGACGCGCGAAATCGTTCGTGTACTCGTATGCGTATATACGCGCACACACACGCGTACGCACGTTTCTCCGACTCCACAAGCATTATCTCCCGTGTGCGAACACGTCCGGTTATTATTACGAGTGCAGATAGCTGCAGCTGTGCACGTGGAAGATATCCCGGCATTGCAACATCCGTGTTAAATTTATCGCGGCGGTAATGACGCAAAGGTTTTTTTTTGCCAAAAGCCTATATTCTTCATTAAACTTCGATTAAAGTATATATACAAAATATTGTGACAAAAGTTATGTTGAAATTATAGTTGTTTATAATGTTTTTTTTATTGGTTTTCAGTGTTTTCTTAAAGTCAAACTATACCGAAATTGTAACGTAAATTACTAAATTTGACGACTTCTACCTGCTATGATATAAAAAAATTATTCAAGCAATTGCAGTAATTTTGTGGGAAAAAGTCGAACATGCACAACATTTTTGGACAAATATATACTATATTTTTCGACAAAAATGTAGCAATTTCGATTATGATTCTGTACAAGTTTACAAAAATCTGGCTATAATTCTTGCCACAATATTTTTTCCGTGTGCAATAGAAAAGATACAATATTGAGACACAACACGTGACACGAGATTGTACATTTTTAGTTGTAGTTTCAGCGAGACAATTTCAGCAAAGCGATGCGCGATCGAAGGGAAAAGGGACAATCGCGCAGAAACGAATTACGAAATTTATTCTGACGGGCGTTCAAGTCACTCTAACGTCTCGTTTCTACGAGGGGTCCTTCATCGACGGAAGATGTTGGCGAGTCCTAATACAGATCTGGTGAAAGGCGTGATACTCATCAGGGAGTCCACGTGGGCGTCGCGCGCGTTGCAGCAAGACGATCGCCTTGAACGCGCCTTCACGAGCCGTTTCGAATAATCACACCTCTTGCCGTCACCGTCGTGATAATCGCCGTATCTCAAAGGAACTCTGTCGGTGCCTGCAAGATCGTGAGGACGTGCAGACACGATGTCATGGATGCCCGAACATCTCCTAGAGCATTGCACGATTTTCAGTTTTGTGCGTATACGAATGAGATTGAAAAAGTGTTACAATTAAAGCCATAATTCCATTGTAATTACAGTTGCTTATTGAACTAATTTCCAATCTCAGACGTCATGCGTAAGATTGAAAGTCGTACAACTCTCAATCTGTACGGTGAATGTACGGGCAATCCATGACACCGCATATGCGCAAACACCTCGTGGCCGCAGTTCGTTGTGGAAAAGCGCGAGGCAACCGGCGAACAATCGGCTGGACGATATTCAATCCAGCCGCGAGGAACGCACATTCGGATTAATTACGGTGCAACTCCGATTTCTCACTCGACCTAGATCGGTGCCCGCCGCGCTTCGAATTTCATTGAACGAGCTACGCGTTTCCCTCTACTTTCGTCGTTTTCTACACGCCAAAGTGATCGACCAATTCATGCGTCAAGCCATTTCGTTCGCTTTCATTGCGACGCGCGTCGGGAGGACGGCGGGGCAACACGAGGTGATCTCGAAATATGCTTACGACGCCGCACGACGGATTCCGAGGAGGCTTCCGCCGACGCGCTGTTACTTGAATCCGATTTTTGGCGGAGCAGCCGCGAGCGACGCTCTCCGTTGTCCAGGAGGTCGACTGACAAAGATCCCGTACTTGCGAGGCGGCGGTTCCGGCGGCAATGACGGTGGAAATGACGGCTCGAGGATCTTAAAATCACAATCCGCGACATGGAACATTACGGATCTATTGATCGTATTTTTTCATCTGACAAATGATACTCTATAAATCTATCGATTTACGTTCTTCAAGAATCCATTATCATTAATTATAATATATATGATTATTATTATAATAATTATATCTCAGAGAGAAAGAGAGAGAGAAAGAATCATTATAATTATAATTGTGATTGTAATTATGTTCACCGATTAAACGCGAGTCGAGTTTGATCGTACCTCGAGTACTTATTAATGTGATTATTACACTTATTAATGTTATTATTATACGGAAAAGGAAGTTTGGTTGGATTAACGAAATGTCTGATGAAATATGAGCAAACCGAAAATTCCAATTAAAGTCACCAAAATCCTATTCAAGTCAACAAGATTTCTGGTTTACCCGAACTTGCAATTTCCAAGTTAACGAGATATCCCTCAACTATAGCTTGCAGCTGGTAACGTAAAAATCGAGAGAAAACATGCACTGAAAAAAAGATACTTGAAAATTTATTTGCGGGATATAAAGTTTATTCGCAAGAGAATAAATGTTGTTTCACAGAAATAAACTTTATATCCCGCAAATAAATTTCGTAAGTGATTTTTTCTTCAGTGTCTTTTAAGTGTCGGTTGAGACACCAGCTCGGACCAACCTTGAAGTTTTCGAGCGGATTCGCGGCGCCTTCGAGCTCACCCCCTGGACGTTCATCCTCGCGGGCTGTGACAACACCGGCTGAATTTTCGGACGATTTGTCCGGCTGTTTGTACTAAAAACCATCTACGATTTAACAATAATTACACTGAAACTAACGGGAAGGAGAAGGTATCGCATGAACAGCGTCAAACGGTGATTACTTTTTCTATGATTTTCTCCAGTCGCGCGATCTTGCTGGATGTGGTGGTCAATTCTGTGTCGAGCCTACACATCTGAATAACCGGACGGTGTCAATCTGAATTAATGTTCTCAACCGATAATATCATACAAATGATTTATAACACGTCTGGACTTACTTCATCCTCCAAGTGTCTCGTGGTCACCTTTTGCGCATCTGTCTGTAGACACGGAAAAGGGACATAAATCGCGTCGTGGAAATTATCGTAAGAAATGTAAAACCAGAACCTGCTAACCGTTTTCACTATCACTTCTTCGAATTGCGTTTTCTTGTTCTTCAACAATATCAATCTGTCCAATTTCTGTGGAGGATTTTCAGTGAAGAGAGCGAGTGTGAGTTGGATTGCGTAATTAAAGCTCCTCGTTAAATTATGACGCTGATTAGAAGCAACATAATAAACGCGGCAGAGTGTGCTCACCGTTTTGTTGTTCGCGATTGTCGTTGACATTTCCCGATTCGACTTCTCGATACGTTTTATTATCTTACGAGCGGCAGGAGGCGCGTGAATATCCATACATAAAACGGCATAAAGCATAGATCAAATGGGATATAAGGATATAAAACGAGATATACGCGAATAACGTCATTTAACGGTGAGTTAATTATGTATACTTGACTTTTTTCTCGTCACAATTTATCACACGTGAATCACTTACGTTAGTAGCGTACCACAGCGCCACGTAGAAGAGGGCGTACATCAAAATGCAGATGTAAATGTTGTCCAACACGTAAGCCCGTATAAACGACTGCGAATAGGAAACACACACACGGCGTGAAGAGAGACGCGCAGAGAAGCACGCCGAGTAACGTGCTGAAAAAATGCGCAAGAAACCACGATTTTTAATTCGACCGGCGAGGTTACCTGACGGTCGTAAACATCGACGAGCCTCAAAATCGGATAGGTTCGCGACAGCTGCGAGAAGTAATACGGCTTCTGCGAAAACATCCTCGCGAGTACAATCCATGGACGACCTGCGACGAGAATCGACGACGTAGACGCGCGTGCGAAAACCGAGCAATGCCAATCTTGTATGCGATAAGACGCGGGACAAAAATTTCCGGCTGACTCTACGGCATTATATGTGCGTGTGTGCGTGTATACGTGTATACGCGTGAACGTATCTCTTGTTCATATCCGGCGCTCGTTACGTCAGTCGCGAATAGCGGAACGTCGGGATGACGCGTGTTGCGTCAAAAAGTCACGTGGTCACTTTTTGCGCATCGCGTTAAACTTCACATAGTTAAGTAATTCACGTGGAACAGTATTAATAGACTGTGTGTGAGAGAAAAATATCTAAAAAATATGTAATAAATATTTTTTTAAATAATTATAACAAAATCTATAAAATAAAAAATATTCGATGGGTGTTAACAACATTTACTTGAATACATATTTTTACATTTTTATACAATTTTATACAATTTTTTACATTTTTATACATTTTTATACAATTTTATATAATTTTTTACAAGAAAAAATTCTCTTCAAATGAGAGATACATTATTCTAAAACAGTTACTTTTCACAAAAACTATTATTCATTCTCAGGTATGCTCTATAGTACGTGCAACAATCCGTACAGCATTTGAAGATGAGCTTAAGAAAATGATCTTAAATATACGATTTGACTACGAATACCGACTATAGCCGAGTAATTCCCCTTTGAGCTTTTCAACGAAGCTTGCGTATGAAATACACACCGGTGAATCTTGCAGCGTTTTCGATCGAAGTCGTAAAGTGGTATTGTTACGCGCAAAACACACGCTAGATTCACGGATTCGCGATCGCCTCGTTGCGTCGCAGATATTCTACAAATCGTTATCGGGACATTATCTCCCCTGCGGAGATTCATATAATAATAACGCGTAACGCGCGCGATCGCGATAGCGCGCGTAATCTCCTCCATATAAACATAATTAAGGCAAAGCGAGACAGAGAGAAAGAGAAAGGGGAAAGGAAAGCGTATTGGAGCAGGTGACTTTATGCTGCGGGATCGCCGCATTATCGACCTCCGCAATAACGATTGCGAGGAGGTTACGACACACGGGCGATACTACCGGCGGTAATACCGACGATAAAGCGACGTAACTTCGATAAGTGATAGGAAAGACGATACGCGGCTCATAATTAGTCTTATCGTTGTTATTGGCTTAAGCTGCCGAGTGGCCCCGTGTTTGCGCTCCTAATTTCGCTCGAGCTGCTCCTGAATTGACAGCGATTCGGACATTTTTACAGCACGCAACAGAGGCTCACGGTTAATTGCGACAGGGATGCTAATTGCTGTACGCAGCGCTTTCTCGCGGGTAATGACGAGCTTTACGATCTTACGAGCGCGAATTTCGTCAGACGTCAGCACACCGTGCTGCATCGTGTTTGGGCTCATTAAACGCGTCATTTCGCGGCCCGAACTCGCCGAGTTCGCGAGGATAATAACGCGTTAAATCCGAATTTACGCTACGCGGGCGCTTTCGTCATGGTCTGATACCACCGACGCGGCAGGAATACATATTTAACGCGGGCCCGAAACGAGTCCGTGAAGAGGATGAGAGAATGAGGCGCGGATGGGGACGCAGAAATCAAAGCCTCTAAAAAATCCAAAAACTCTTGGACAAACACTCGTCCAAGGTTCGCTCCCCTTCTCTCCACTCTCGCTGACGCCACAGTGCCGCCACGGCGAGCTCGAGAAACCAAATTACGAACTAATCCACGAGGGATCGTTTACTTTTTCTACGTCAAGCACATCGAGTCGTAGGGGACGGCGGCTCCATCGGCCTTCTCTGTCCTCCGATTGAATACACAAGGATTATCACATGAAAGGCGCACATGAGGCTGTTCCGGCGATGCAGCCACTAACTGCACACACACACACACACACACACAGCTACCCATCCACCTACCCATCCTATTTATCCACCCACGTAGCGCGTACACGCACACACGTACGACGACAGTGACACGTACACAGGCGCGACGCGCTCCAGCATCGGCAGCCTTCGACAGGACGAGACCAAGCCACTTGTCGTTTCCCATGACGCCTCGCGGGCAGGGTTGACTAACTAAATACCGAAGTTAGCCGGCAGGAGGCCCGAGGCCAGGGTTAAACGGAGCTTAAAAAGCTGCGGAGGAGCGAGAACACGTACACACACATCGAGTGTCCGAAAAGGGGGAGCGCGGGAGAAGCGCCGAATCAACTGCGAAAACACTCGAGATCACTTAGAGGAATCTCCGCGCGCGACGCGTTTCGCGCCCCTTTTCTCTCTTCCCCCGGTTCACCCGAGCCACCCCCCTAGTCACTGCGACGCGGGCCAACTTCGCTTCTCGCCGACCCACCCTCCCCGGCGGCGATGTTTATGTAAAACAGTAGCCGAATGAACCCTCGAGCGTCGGAGCGACGGTGGATGCGCGATGGAACCACTTGACGCGTCAAAAACGTCAGTTACATATCGTGCGGGCGCGCGGGGCGCGGGTGCACGTTGGCGCGATAGTTACGTGGGGTGCTTTTGTCGGCGAGGAAAGACGGGACTGAAGAGCGACCTGGAATATCCAGAATAGGAATCGAGAGGCGCCGTTGGTCGCGTATAAGGGACGCTATTATTTTGAGGGAGACAAAATGAGGACTGGAGGGAAACGGTTTATTCAAGGGTTTAATAAACGATGTCGCGCGTCGCAGTAATGTGTGAATCGTGGACAGCTGACTTCGGAATCCGAGTCGAGCGATCTCGTTCCCGCGATAAATTATTACCAATTATCAGAAGAATCATGACAACTGACTGTGAAGATTAAGAGAATAATAATCAACTATCACGAGCTGCGGCCGAGAGGTTTGTTCTATAGCTTTTAACGACATTATCCTTGTCTGCAGGATAATTAACGACGCCGGTTTCTCATTGTACATCTCACACGCGAGAGAACATAACGAAAGCGCAGCTCGACCGCTCGATTCGCGAGGGTCATTCATTTATCTCCCTCATCCGTGACCCCCGAAATCGAGTCGAGCTTCGCCGCACCGAACTCCGTACGGAGGACTAAGGATGCTCGACGACCATGGTCGCCCTTCACGAGCGAGTTATCGTGCGATCGGCGTAAGCGCCAAAGATAAAGGCGGACGAGTGAGCGAGCGGACGAGCCACGGGTAGCTATGGGGGAGGAAAATTGGTCGACCACCTAGCCGAGCAGGATATCGCCGGAGGATCGTGGATCCTGGCGGGAAAGCTCTCTCCCTCTCTCTGTTGTGTACGAGCCAGGACGGGGACACGCCGTCGGGGCAACAACATCGGGACATAATCGATTTGCCGTGAGCTCAGCCGTGATTCGCCCTCGTGGCAGTCAGCGCGACAAGAAAGTCTCGCCAGCAAAGGCGCCACCGGAGCGAGAAATTACTCATCGTTCTGATTGAGGTTAATTAATTAGATAATTAAGTTCGCCCCTACTCCTCGCGCGCCGACGGGGGCAAAGCGTAGCGGAGTATGGCGGCGTGAGCGAGGCGTCTCGCCTCTATCTCCCAGGAGAAGAACGCGACACGACGGTGATCCTCGTTAGAAAAACGCCCCGCGGAATTACCGGAATCGAGTGAGGAGTCTGCAACCGTCTCTCTGATCTCGTTAAGTCGCGCTCCTGTTCCGTTCGCGATTAAAACCGCCCGTGGTCCCCGCAATCCGCGTAACGAGGCGATATCTCGCGAAAAGGCGTCGTGAAATCTGGGTTCTCGTCCATTGTCCCTGTCGTTAAACGCGAGCGATAGCAGAACTTATTCGAAAAATTTTCCGTTAAGCGTGGCGAGAGAGCTTATATTAATTCGCGCATACGAGACGAGCACACTTTCCAAACCTCGCAACCGCGGGTCGCAACCACCTCCGCGCGACCTTTCGCCTACCCGCGGAGCTTCAACTGGCGCGCTGGGAAACGCGACGAGGAACCAAGTCAGCTTGCGTGCTCAGAGCGAGGATCGGGGGTGGAAAAGAGCTTAAAGCGGATCTCTTGAAAAATCCCCGCGCATTCGATAAATTTTCATGTCACCTTTATCTGACGATATTTCACCGAGCGGCGCTCGACGGGGGTGGTGGTGGCGGCTCAACGATCGCATATGAAAGAACTCTTTACATGTGACACTTAACGAGAATCTCATAATCTTGCGGGGACGACACGGCCTCTCTCTCTCTTGTACCCGCACTGACTGGCTATACCCGGCCGGCGCTCTGAAAATCCCTTTGAAGATCTACCCATTGACGTTCGCGGTTTAATATTCAGTCACGGATATTAATGCTCTCCTAGCAACGACGACTCGTAAATCAGCAGAGCGCCCCTGCCTCCCTCCCCACGCTGATACACTTTTCGCATCTCTGGCATCCCCTTCACGCAAACCCACCTCTTTCTCTCTCTTTCTCTCTCTTTTGCAACGTCGCTTCTCGCCCTCAGATCCGCGAAAGGATGGTCGCGTTGATTGAGGATAATGCGAGATACCAATTATCCGGCCGTGTGGAGAATTCATTAGCGCCGCAGAAAAGACGAAACGACGACTGCTGCGCGATCTTTTGTACGACGAAGTGCATCCTTTGCCAATGCGCCCGCTTCCATCATTGTACTTTAATGTCGTTTCGCATGCACGAGCTAACACGCGACGTGAAGCGTTCGCGAGGTTTAATTCGCGCAGGAATCACGGAAAGTCGCAGGCCGTAATCGTGGATGAAAAGAGAGTTTCGCAGTCGACACCAAGAGGCCTGGCTAAAAATCGATATTAGAGAACGTGAGATTATTTCGCAGGGATCTGCGCGGTTTGCGTCCGCGTCACCGTATTTCAAGCGAAACTGGTGCAGCGTCAGAAAAGCAAATGCTCGTTAATGACGATTCTCCACATAATCAGGCCACGAGATATCTCGTTAACATCTGCGCTCTCACGTGTGAGGTCGCCGATTAAATATATATTCATAAATAGCCGCTCTCGGGTCAAATGTACGATGTGCGAGCGCGTACGCCGGGAAGAAACTCGACGTGATACAACGGATTTTCAGAGCATGAAGCTTTACGCTAAAAGTTCCTTCGTCGTATCATATCACCGCGTTAATGTCAACATATACTTCTCTTTGTGTGCGGTGAGAAAAAGGAAGACAGAAATTCAAACTTCTATAATCATTATCCGAGCGAGAAGCACACCGTGTAGCAAAGTACACTTCCCACGCTGTTTTTACAATGACTCCCTCTTCAACAGATTTCCACGCGTTATCGATCGGCTGAAACGTTTCAGGCGCGATAACTCGGCGCGTACTGAGGATTTACCTACGACGTAAGCGCGTCGCATACCATCCGAAA